AGAGGAACATACAGATGCTAACATCATAGTTGAAAGACAAGGTTGGCATAATAGGCTACAATACATCCTGGCCCAAGTTGGATTTTCTGTAGGTCTAGGAAATGTGTGGCGATTCCCATACCTATGTCAGAAGAATGGGGGTGGTAAGTTTTATTTTTTTCAGTGATACATTGCTGAATAGATTTTAATTGTTTATCTCAAATAGCTGCTGTTGTTGCTAGAGTCTGATTATTTTAGAAACTATGAATTTTATTATAAAGCTAGGGAGACTCCTTTGTTGAAAATGAGTTTAACTGTTTTCAGAATAGGTTTCCATAGGAGCAGATGGCTTGCTGTGAATACACAAGGATTGATTTAAAGGTAATACATTCTTAGTGTCTTTCTGTGGATCCTATTAATTACTGACTTTATAAACAAAGGCTGCAACTCTTGTGCCTGTGAGTTATTCTCTCTGGAGAAAAAAAACTAAACTTTCTGGTATAAGGCAATATTTATGAAGAAAAAATGTTCTTATTAAATCTGAAAATTTTAAGTTGTTTTACTCTCCATAAAAACAAAAAAATTACATACAATTTAAAATGATTATAGTATTCAAATGCTGACCAGAACTTTAAAGACTTTGGTAGAAGAGATTTAATGGGATAATAATTATACACTGAGTGGCCAGATTATTATGATCTCTGAATACAGAATAATCTGGCCACTCAGTGTGTGTGTGTGTGTGTGTGTGTGTGTGTGTGTGTGTGTGTGTGTTAGAGGGGCCCGATGCATGAATTTGTGCATACATGGGATTGGGCCAACCTGGCTGGAGGTAAGGGGTGATGACATTGGCAGTTGGCCAGCCTGTCTGCAGGTTGAACTCCTGGTCAAGGGGACAATTTGTATATTAGCCTTTTATTATATAGGATATAAACTGAGTGGCCGGATGATTATGAGTTCAAAGATCATAATAATCTGGCCACTCTGTTTAATACCAGACATTCTTTATTCTTAAACTTGAGGTACATGAAAATTTGTGCACTTGGGAGGGGATCCCTCAGCGTGGCCTGTGCCCTCATGTTGTCCAAGACCCCTCGGGGGATGTCTGCCTGCTGGCTTAGGCCCTATCTCCAAAACTGACAGTCAGACAATCCTCTGGCAGCCCAGGGGGAGTGGGCCTAAGCCATAGTCAGACATCCTTAGTGCTGCTAAGGAGGCAGGAGGAGGCGGGAGAGGTTCCCACACCCACAACTGTGCTTGCAGCTGTCCACAGCTTGTGGCTGAGTGGAACTCCTCCTGTGGGAATGCACTGACCACCAGAGAGCAGCTCCTGCATTGAGCATCTGCCCCCTGGTGGTCTGTGCACATTATAGTGACCAGTTGTTCCCAGTCATTCTGCCCTTAAGGTCAATTTGCATATTACCCCTTTATTATATAGGATATCATACATATTTGGTTCCCAATTCTGTAGTATTTAGGGACAATGTTTTGTTTCAAAGAAAACGGTAAAGAAATTAGAATCCTTAGTTTTAAACAAAAATATATACATTTACATGATCCTGTAGTTTTTTGTATTTGTGCATATAAATACCAGGGATTAGTTAGCAAACATATCTTAAAAATTAAGGGGGATGGACACAAACAAAAGAATAGATTGTTTGTGTAGGACATACGCTTTAGAGTTCACCAAAGTCAAACTGATTAGCTTTATTATTTATATACATGGAAATTGTTAAAATAAGCATGGCTAAAAACTAAATATTTTATGTGCCTCATTTCAGTACTCAAAGGGTAGAAAGAATATTTTGGTATTTGACTCCAGTTTGGGATAGTTTTGCTGACTGGACAAATATATGTCTTTATTTTTTATGTAATTGCCACCTATAAATCAAATGAAATAATATAACCAATGTGGAATTTCTTTTTAGCCACCAAAAATAGAAAAGATAAAAAGTGTTATGGTGACAAAATAAGGTTTAAAATCTTGCTTATTAATTCAACCATGCACAAAATAGCAGGTTTGAAAATTTAGCCTGTTTGACAAATCTTCCTGAGAGATTGGACTCAATACATGGTCAGTGATGCACTACAGATCACATCATTCCATGGAAATTGTGAGCCCCTTAGCTAGTCAGTAACATCACGTAAATTATTTACCAAATCAGCTATTAGCAGCTGCGCCCTACCCTGCTTTGGGTTTCTCACAAATCACTTCATTTGTCAAGACTTTGAGAAGATGAAACCTAATTTTCAGACCTCTCTCCTTATGAGCCTTATTCATACTGTAAAGGAAAACAGTTTTCTTGACTGAAGAGTCAGGTTGCCATCCATTTAATACAAATTTTGTCTTGATGAAGAGCTGAAAAAGAATTTTGTATTTTGGAATTAGCAAAATGTCTCTTCTTTCTAATTTTTATGTGAAAGTAGTCAAAATGCCCTTCCTAATCTTGTTTCCTTTCTTCATATCACAAATACTAGAGAGTGATATTACAAAATGCCAGTGGACTCTTCTCATTTCAAGATGGCTGCTAGAGTAGAAAAGATTTTGCTCAATATGCAGTATAGCATTGAGTCTTCTAGGTGTTCAAGTAGTATCTTCTGGCTACTGAGTCAAAGAGCCTCACTACCTAAATCTTACATATATATAATATATAGTATTGATTTTTTACAGAGAGGAAGGGAGAGGAGAATTAGAAATATCAATGAGAGAGAAACATTGATCAGCTGACTCCTGCACACCTCCTATTGGGGATGTGCCCATAACAAAGGTGCATGCCCTTGACCAGAATCGAATCTGGGACCCTTCAGTCCACAGGCTGACTCTCTATCCACTGAGCCAAATTTATTAGGGCCTTATTCATCATTTGAGGCACTTTATAAATAATAGAAATAAAAACTAACAAACCTAATGTAAGTTGATTTGTCTGAAAATAAACTTAAAGAACAATGGTTAAGCTTAATAAGTAGTATAACATAGAAGCTACCAGCTCACAGTTTGAAATCAATTTGACTCTGAAGCCTAGCTCTTTCAGACATTAGCCATGTGATCTTTTATAAGTTAACTTACTTTTTCTGGCTTATTTCTCACACCTGCAAAATGAGGGAAATAATGGCACTTACCCCTTGGATTCATTGGATTCTTGTAAGGAATAAATGAGTAAGTAACTACATGTAATAGGCTTAGAAATGTACCTGACAAATGGTACATAGTGATATTTTAGCCATGGCTATTTTTAATTTGGAGACTAATATTAAAGTAATTTCAGTATGTAATATAACTTCTAACATACACAACTGAGGGAAAATATCCAATGAGTACAATCTTAATTAATTCTCTTTTTTCTCCCCTGGTCATTCACTCATACATAAACCCAGTCATATTCTAGGATTTGACACAGGAGTTAAAATGCACTTTCGTTTCTTTTGGAAACATTTTCAGGTTATTAGTGTCTGAATGTTACAAATCATTTTAGAATTAGAAATTTGGTAGTTCTGTTTTAAAAGCTATGCATCCATAATTTACAGAATATACTCCTTTGAACAATCAATTCAAGTCTGAAGACTGAAAGTCAGCCATAATATAGTAATTTTACTGAACACTGTATTAGGAAAATTCTTGCATATGGTCATTATTTCAGCACTAGATAAATAGTGAGGTAAATAATTAAAAATATTAATATATTAAAATTTAACTCTTCATCCGAATACCCGAAAATTTTGTATAGCTTCCCAAATCTATTTAATACCACTTAACACTTTTTAAAAATTGGAAAATGTAATAAATGGTCTTTTATTTAAAAAGGTAATTAGTACAATTGATTGCATAACTCACCTGACAGTATCTGGTTGAACAAAACTCCAATAAGAAATTTGAATGTAGGTCTTACAGGTTATTTAAGGAATGATTTGTATACATATTTTCATGTAGAAGTGAGTATTGGTTTCACATTTAACTATCAATTAATAGTCTAATATTAACTTTGTCAAACTGGTACATTAAAAAGTCACTATTTATATATCTTAATTTGCAATTTAGCTATAACGTATTTTTTAAGCATAGACACTCTACTAAAAGGATAATAGCATATATTTTATGATATGAATTATCTTTGTTTCTGTCAATCTCACGATCCCATCCTAGAATTTTGGAAAATAAAAAATTGATTGTTTCCTAAAGTGTACTTTTCATATGAAATATATATGGGAAAATGACATTTCTCTGTGTTAGAGGTTATTTTATTTTTTACATTTTTAGTTGAAGCAACATTTCTTCTTCTTTGTTGTTACTTAAGAAGAAAAGTCAGTTTTAGTAACATAAAATTTCATTCATTTTAATTTATCTGATTTGCAGTACATGATTTATATCCATAGATGAATATGAATAAAATTTAATAAAGTACTTCATAACCATTGTGTGAATAAGATTTCCATGATGCCTGGTCTGTGTGGCATGGTGTTTGAGTGTCATCCTGTAAAACAGGAGGTCACGATTCCATCCCTGGTCAGGGCACATGCCCAGGATGCAGACTCAGTCCCCAGTGGGGGACATGCAGAAGGCAGCCAATCAGTGATTCTCTGTCATCATTGATGTTTATATCTCTCTCCCTCTCTCTTCCTCACTGAAACCAATAAAATATATTTTAAAAAAAAGCTTTCATGAGTTTGTGAAACCTACTTGAGAAAATAATTAATATTAAGGATTCAATTATTTTTATGAAAAATTAAGTTGTTTACCCTTTCATTAAAATAAAACCAAACTATTCATTGATACTTTTACCATAATTCTTTTTTTTATCTGAAATTCTTTGTAAAAGTCAAATTGAGGTTTCAAATACTAGAAAGTTTAAAGTAATAAAATTTCATTTTTTAAAAGTCCTTTATACTTATTATATATAGAAGTTCAAATATAATATTTTATGAGATAACGAGAATTAGTGTATTCTCTACTGTTAAAAATATAATCTATTTTATTTGTTCTTGTCTCTGTAGGTGCATATCTTTTGCCATTTTTTATATTGCTTATGATAATAGGTATTCCACTTTTTTTTCTGGAACTTGCTGTGGGGCAAAGAATTCGGCAAGGAAGCATCGGTGTATGGAATTACATAAGCCCTAAATTGGGTGGTATTGGATATGCAAGTTGTTTTGTAAGTTGCCTGATATACTATATGCCATATAATTTTTATGATCTTTGGATTTATATTATTTGTATTTAAATAAAATAGTTGACTGTGTATTTCTACTCAACTGTTTGATTATCTTTCTAAAAAACACAATGTAAGATATGTACACATATAATATCTTAATAAAAAAATGGAAAAAACACTATAGGAGCTTTTACTAATATACAAATCAAGGTGAAAAATATTAAATGCATGCTCTTAAGACTGTGAGAGATTTTTTTTTTTAGAAGAGATATTGTGTTTTAAATGAAAATAAAAAAAATGAATGAGATTTTTAAAATGTTAAATGGGGTCATGTACATATCATCTCACTGTCTCACATGAAGGAGCACCAGAGGTTTAATGGAATCACATTATTCTATTTTGCAGGTGAGCTTCTTTGTGGGCCTCTACTACAATGTCATCATTGGCTGGAGTGTGTTTTATTTTTCTCAGTCCTTTCGATATCCTCTGCCTTGGCATCAGTGTCCTTTGGTGAGAAATGCTACACATACGTGTAAGTCATGGACAATATAATAGTGTTTTTATATTTAATAATGATTATAAAGTTGTAAAAGAAACGAGTTTTCAAGATTTTAAAAAATAACGTAGGAAAAAATTATCATCATAATATTTTTCCTCACATTTAGGATTGCCATACTCAGAGATAGAACTTGGGCCCCATCTAAGTTGACTAGCTCTTCCCAAGTTACCTCTTCTCAGTTAAGTATCATTGGTGTGCAATATATTATTAGTTATATTACTTTCAGGTGTACAATGTGGTGACTTGATATCTCTGTAAGTTACTATGTAATGACCCACTCATCCTAGTAATCATCCATTATTGTGCAAACCAGTCACAATATTATTGACTACATTCTCTTTCTCGAGTCCTTTTGTTGTGCCCCATGATTTTAGGTGAAATATGATTAACTTTGACAGTCTTTAATTTTGTACACCTCCTTTAATGCTTTGTAGTTTTTGTTAAAATAAAACAAAGGACAAAAAAATTCTATTGAAGAAATTGTTTTTATTTCATAGATTTCTATCATTTATTTTTATATCTCAGAATATAATAAAGAATATTTCCTTATAGTGATGTCCAGTAAATATAAAATATGCCTAAAATTTTCTTGTAATCACAATTTAAAAATAAACAGGTGAAATCTTTTATTTAATCCTATGTATCCAAAATGTTAACATTTCAACATATAAAATTATTAATGTAATAATTTGCATTCTATTTATCATACTAAGTCTCCAAAATTCTCTTTGTATTGTGCATTACAACACAGGTCATTTTGGGCTAGCTTATTGCAAAAGTCACATATGATCAGCTGCCAGTGCTTTTGACAGCTGTGCCCCAGTAAGATAATTCTGGGAGTGGAAAGGACTATACATTTTTAAAAATAAATCTTTATTGTTCATATTATTACAAAAGTTCCTCATTTTTTCCCCTCCATTGCTCCCCTCCACCAGGTACACACCCCAACCTCTGCCCTTTCCCCTCCCTCCATTGTCCTCATCCATCAGTGCACAGTTTATGTTCAGTCTCTTCCTCCACCCTCCCTCCTCTTTTCCCCAAGAATCATCAGTCCACTCCCTTTCCATACCTCTGATTCTATTATATTCAACAGTTAATATTGTTCATCAGGTTTCTTAATTCCCTTGGTTTTTGGATTCACTTGTTGATAGTTGTTCATAATTTGTTGTTCATAATTTTTATCTTTATGTTCTTCCTCTTCCTAAAGAATCCCCTTCAGCAATTCATATAATTCTGGTTTGGCGGTCATGAACTCCTTTAGCTTTTTTTTATTTGTGAAGCTCTTTATCTGGTCTTCGATTCTGAGTGATAGCTTTGCTGGGTAGAGTATTTTTGGCTGTAGGTTCCTGCTATTCATCACCTTGAATATTTCTTGCCATTCCCGTCTGGCCTGCATGGTTTCTGTTGAGAAATCAGCTGACAAACGTATAGGTGCTCCTTTATAGGTAACTACCTGCTTTTCTCTTGCTGCTTTTAATATTCTCTCTTTGTCTTTTGCTCTTGGAATTTTAATTATGATTTGTCTTGGTGTGGCCCTCTTTGGGTTCCTTTTGTTTGGGGTTCTGTGCGCTTCCTGGACTTGTAGGTCTGTTTCTTTCCCCAGTGGGGGAAGTTTTCTGTCACTATTTCTTTCAGTATGTTTTCGATATCTTGCTCTCTCTCATCTTCTGGGACCCCATAATTCTGATGTTGGTTCGCTTGAAGTTGTCTCAGAGGTTTCTTCACTATCTTCAACTTTCTGGATTCTCTTGCCTTCTTCTTCTGCAGAGGAGTGTCCTCTGGCTCTTTGTGTTCCAAATGTTTGACTTGATTCTTGCAATCTTCCATCCTGTTTTTAGGACTCTGTATAATATTTTTTATTTCAGACATTGTGTTCTTATCTCTAGTTGATCCCTTTTCATATCCTCATAGATCTCATTTATTTGATCAGCCTTTTCTAGGAAATTCTTAAAATACCTTATAACCATGGTTTTGAACTCTATATCCAGTCACTTTTTGCCCTCCATTTCTTTCGTTTGTGATCTGTTTCCTTGTCTCGGCATTTTCTCAGCTTCCCTGAGTTGGTAGGGTGGCTTTGTGTGTTAAGGTGTCCCATATGGTTCAGTGGGTCAATCTCCGAGTTATCTGAGGTGGACACTCTGGTGCACCCCTTTGTGGATTGTGTGTACAGCCTTTTGTAGTTAAGTCTTAATTGTTGTTGGTATTACTGGGAGGAATTTACCTTCAATCCAATTGGCTGTGAGGATCAGCTGTGTCTATGCCAGGAGACAGCCTTATTCAAAAGCCTCTGTGCTCATCTTGGATGGAGCAGAGTTTCAGGGTGGAGCCTACAGCCTTGGCTTCCTGTCAGCCCCGCCCTATGAGTCTCATTTTTCCTTAGTGTCCTTTGGTACTAGGTGCTTTGGTACTCACTGCAAACACCTCTAAGAGAAAGGTGCCCTCGAGTTTCGCCCACTACCAGACAATCTAGTCTCTCCCCCTATGAGCCCAGAACTGGGGTTCAGTGCAGTTAGAAGTGGGGTTCACTGCACTCCGGAGCTTTTGTCTCCTTCCTGCTAGGGCAATCCAGTGGAACAGTCAATAGTCTGTCCTCTGCACAAAATGTGCACGACTCTGGGACTCTGCCTTTCACAGCTCCCCTGAGTTTGCGCCTTACAGCCTAGAATCCCTCTGTATGAGCTTAGGACCCAGGTTTCACCCAGAACTGGGGTTCAGTGCAGTCAGAACTGGGGTTCAGCACAGCCCAGAGCTTTTATCTTCTTCCTGCTAGGAAGCGCCAGCCAGGCACTCAGCCATCCCCTCCTCTCCGGCTCCGTTCTCTCCCCAAGTGCGGACCGTGTCTCCGTACCTTGGGCTTCTACAGCTCCTCTGATTTTCCTTCTGGTTTTCTCTTTCCTTCCAGTTGTAAAATTTCCAGTCAGTCTACTTTCCTGTAGTACTGGATAGTGTCCACTTTACATTTTTTTTGAAATTGTTGTGTGAGGCTGCCGTTAGGCATTTACCTAAGCCGCCATCTTGGTTTTTTCAGGGACTATAAATTTTATGTTTTAATTACTTTGATAAAAAGCTCATGTGTTTTTATTAATGAATGTGTGAGAAGAAATATCAAAGAGGATACATGTCTGTTGACATTTCACTTTTTGCAGTTGAGTTTTTATTGTGAATTTAAATGCTTCTGTAGAATAGTAATACTTTCTTAGGAAATGTTGAGAATTGATTTATAGGCTTATTGGGGAAAAAATTTTATTACTCTTTATAAACTGAAATTATTGTGTTATCTTTCTTTCTACAGTGGTAGAGACAGAATGTGAAAAAAGTTCTGCCACCGCCTATTACTGGTACAGAAAAGCGTTGGATGTTTCTGGTTCCATTTCTGAAAGTGGGGGCTTAAACTGGAAGATGACCTTCAGCTTGCTGGTTGCCTGGTCCGTGGTTTGCTTCGCTATGATCAAAGGCATTCAGTCTTCTGTAAAAGTTAGTATGTTAGAGACCCTCCTGATTCTGCAGTCTCTGTGGGCAAACTGCAAGTAGTGCTTCATTCTACGTAGTTAAAGATTGATTTTAAAAAAATGGTGCTTTTATGATGTTTACATTAATAAAATGACATAAGCAAAGAGATAAGTATTTTATACCGAAATATAAAGAAATGTATGATCTTTTCTTATTTCATCAAGAGTTTTGAAATTTTTTTGTCAATATCATTTTTCCCCCTATTTATTGAATTTACCCTAATATTTTGGTTCTCTGATTATCAATTAGTTCCAACATTAGAAATTGGGAAAAGTGGTAGAATAAAGAAATTTTTCATTTTAGTTGTCTTATATCAATTATTTTTCTCTATTGTAGTTATTCTAAGGAACGCTTGCATAAGATATTTTTAATATGCTCTCTAGTGTGGAAGGCTTCTTAAAGATCTGAGCAGCAATAGGTAGTTATGGTAATCTCCACAACACACTCAGAGTAAATGTAAAGACTAAAGGGCATGCCTTCCAGGGCAAATGGAAAATGTTAAATGACTGTGGTTGAAAAAGACATTAAGTAAATCCTAGAAACTTCAAATTCTTCTTCTCCTTTTTTTTTTTTTTTTTAAATAAATACATTAGGAAAGTATTCACTGTTTTGGTTTTATATTGCATTTTTTCATTATTATTTTAATTGTTTTAATGCTCTCATATCTCCTGGCTGGGCCATAGCAAGAATTTATTACCGAGTCTTCCTTGCCTTTAATAATCCATCTCTACTATTCTTTTTTCTTTCCAAACCATAGATCAGATTATATATCTTTCCAAGCTAATATATTACCAATCACCAGCATATACCAGTAGAAGTGGAGATAATAGAAGTAGTAGTAATAAATGATGAAGGTGAAGGTGACTTCCACAATGATCAGAGCAAGAACAATAACAGAAGCCAATATTTATTGCAAGTGCTTTTTGCTCTAAAAAATGTGATAGGTACATTACATATTTTATCCTGTTGAATTCTAAAGAAAACTGTAAGAATTAATTACTATTCTCAGACCTTCTTTACATATATAAAGCAATTTTGAGAAATCACTAGCCCAAAGAATCATGGCTAGTAATTGCTACCTGGAGTTACACCTAGCTCTGTCTAAATGTAGAGCCCACATTATTTAATTGCAATCCTACAATGCCTCTCACTGCCACCACCCAAGGCTTGCCTGCACCTCGGGCTGGCCCTGGGTGGCTGGGAGACTGAGAAGACTGGAGGACTCTGGAGGCAGGCACCCCAGTATGGCTGAGGGGACTGGACACCAACTTCTTGTGGTATGGGCACAGGCAACTTTAAGGGTGTGGCAGTCAATTAGCATATTTTCTCATTTTGGCTGTAGGTGCCATCATCCTTTCAAAAAATAACTATATTCTCAGTTTTAATTAGGATTTCAATAACCTACATATAATATTTGAGAAAATTAGCATATTTCCTCTTTATTAGATAGGACTAGAGGCCCAGTGTATGAAATTTGTGCATGGGGGTGTGTGTCTCTCAGGCCAGTCTGCAAGCTTTCCAATCTGGGACCCCTTGAGGGATGTCCAACTGCCCTGGATTATGAGAGGCAGTCGGACATCCCTCTCACAATCCAGGCCTGCTGGCTCCCAAACTGCTCGCCTGCCTGCCTTCCTGATTGCCCCTAACCGCTTCTGCCTGCCAGCCTGATTTCCCCCTAACCACTCCCCCGCCAGCCTTTTTGCCCATAACTGCCCTTCCCAGCAGGCCTGATCACCCCTAATTGCCCTCCCCTTCAGGCTTGATTGCCCCCAACTGTCCTCTCTTTCAGGCCTGGTCCCTTCCAACTGCCCTTCCCTGCTGGCCATCTTGTGGTGGTCATCTTGTGTCCACATGGGGACAGCCATTTTGTGTGTTGGAGTGATGGTCAATTTGCATATTTTTATTAGATAGGATAGTTGCCTGGTGCATGGGTGGGAGTCAACTGGTTTGCCCTGAAGGATATCCCAGATCAGGGTGGGAGTTCCCTGGGGCATGGGGCAGCCTGGGCAAGGGGCCTGTGGTGCTTTGCAGGCTATCCATGCCCCCTGGCGACCCAAACAGAGGCCCTGGGGTCTGGGATTTATTTATCTTCTATAATGGAAACTTTCTAGCCTTGACTGGAAGCTTGAGCTGGCCAGTGTGTGTGGAAAGCTTGGCTTCCTCTATTGCCAGAGGAAACCCAAGCCTCCTATTTGCAGCCATCTTGGTTGGGTTAATTTGCATACTTACCAAAGAATCATATTTCACGATTTCATTTCTCAGTTCTAAAGTGTTTATTTTCTGGAAGAGGTAGTCAATCATTCATCCAATCATTTAATACATATATAATGATTGAGCACCTACTATATGCCAGTCACTGACCTTGTTCTGGAGATAGATGAACAAAGCATACAAAACACCTGTCCTCATAGAACATCCAGACTAGTGGCAGAGGAAGACAATAAACATATTTGAAACATAATTTCATTTAGCAATGCATAAAATAAAGTGTTGTAAGGAGAAAGTGTAGACTTTTACTTATAGTGAGGTAGATTAACCTATTTTTAATAATAGTAGGCAAATATGTTGTATGATAAGATTATACCCATATGATTAAAGATAAATAATTTGACTTTAAAAACACCATCCAGACACCCCACCCCTGTAAAGAGCTGGCTTAGGATTTATCTTAAATCTCAGAATTTAATAATTAATGTTGTGTGTGGTGTGTGTGTGTGTAAGTGTGTGTGTTTTATCTCTGAACTACTTAATACTACTTTAGCTTTTAAATTTTGGACCATTATTTTTTTTCCATGTCACATTAAATACAATTTAAAAATATATTTTTATTGATTTCAGAGAGTAGGGGAGAGAAAGAGGCATCAATGATAAGAGGGAATCACTGATCAGCTGCCTCTTGCATGTTGGACCAATTGCCCTTTAACCAGAATCATACCTGGTACCCTTTGGTTCACATGCCTACCTTCTATCCACTGAACCAAAATAGCCAGGGCTAAATATAAAGTTTTATTGTTCCTTTCAGAAAGCTGTGCTAGACTCTTTTCATTGAATCCAAATCAGGGTCTTTAAGAACTCAAAATCTTCTTGAAATAGTAAATGAAAATTGAAATGATTCTGACAATATAATTAGTTTGTAATTTTAAAAATACTTCAGAATAAAGATGACTTTACTTTTTCGGAAATGTATGCATAAAGGAAAACTTAACTTTGTATAAATTCTATACAATTATTGAGTATTTATTATATGTTACAAATTAGTGACTATGAAAATATGAATAGGGCACAGTTTTGTCCTCATGGAACTCATAATTTAATGGGTGAGATAGATAATTACAGCAGAATAAATGCAATAATAGAGGATATAAAAAAAATACATGATAGGCCATTGCCGGGTAGCTCAGTTTGTTAAGAATGGTACCCCAATATGCCAAGGTTGTGGGTTCAATCCTCTGTCAGGGCACATACAAAAATCAATCAATCAATGAATGCATAAATAAGTGAAATAACAATAAATTGACTTCTTTCTCACTCTTTCAAACCAATAAATAAAAGTTTTAAAAAAGAATGAACCAAATGACTGCATAAATAAGTTGAACAACAAATTTCTCTTTCTCTCTCCCTCCCTCTCTTCCTCCCTCTCTTTCAAATCAACAAAAACTTCAAAATTTAGAGGTAGTTACTGAAATTAACATGGATTTGGGGGACATTTTCATAGAGAAGGTAACTTTGGGGCTAGAGTATGTGTTTCAGGTGAAAAAATAATGGATGCATGGAAAATAGCATATACAAAGCACAAAGATTGCTGAGTACACATATCTTTGTGACTTTTACATACAACTTGTGCAGCTCTTGAGAGATGAAACTTGAAATGTAAGTTGACTTACATTCTAACAGCAAATGGACTGTTAGAATGATTGGCTGTTACATAATAAACAATGTAGACCATTTGAGGATCTCTAGCTGTGCAATGACACCATCAAATCTTTAGAGAGAAATCTTTAGAGAGATCATTCTAGTATAGTTGATGGATTTCAGGAATGAAGGAAAAAATCTGGAGGTTAGGTAACCAGGAAAGTATTACAACTGATAGAATTAATGAGATATATGTCTGAATTCAGTGGTAGAATCAATAATTTTGCTTGATGTGTTGGTTATAGAACATGGGCAAGAGGGAATTATTATGGGTTTGATTAGCCTGGATAAATAAAAATACAAGAATAGTCATTTTTTCTCTTAGTCTCTAGTTTTCAGTTATATTAAGAACACGCTGATAATGTGTCACAGTTATTAAAAAAAAAAACACAAAAAACCATCGAGTAGCTTTCATTTTCACTTTTAAAGTAAGTTGATAAAGAGCACATTAAACAGAGAAAAAAAATAAAGTAAGTTGAATTAATGATATTAATGAGGCAGCAAATTTGAGCTCTGTTAAAAAAAAAACAAACTCTTTTGCAAAGTAAATTCTTACTTTTGGCTAGCATTAAGACTTGTGAAGAAAAATCATTAAAAAGAAGAGCTTTAATTCAAGTGAGATCAAGACTAAAGTAGATACATAAACTGGCAAATTTAAAGAATGCTAAAAGTAGCAAGAAGAATAAGAAAAAGTACTCCATCTGAAGGCATTCTGATCTCAAGGAATTAGGGAATTAAACCAATTTGAAATAATTATAAAATTATGCTTTATTATAACTAATTAAATTTAGATATTGATTTTTAAGTATGCTGAGAGTTTATTCATAACTGGAAGCCTGGTGTATGACATTTGTGCACTAAGGGGGTAAAGGGATCCCTCAGACAAGCCTGGGACCCCTAGCAATCCAGGACCCTGAGGGGTCCTTAGCACTGCCACAGAGGCTGAAGAGGATCCCACCACAGCTGCTGTGCTTGTCAGCCAAGAGCCTGGCTTCTGGCTGAGCAGTGCTCCCCTGTGGGAGCATATTGACCACCAAGGGCAGCTCCTGTGTTGAGCTTCTGCTCTCTGGTGGTCAGCACACATCATAGCAACCAGCTGTTCTGCTGTTTGGTTGATTTGCATATTAGCATTTTATTATATAGAACTAGAGGCCCAATGCACAAAATTTGTGCACTAGGTGGGGGTCTCTCAGCCTGGTCTGCACCCTCTCACAATCCCGGACTACTCAGGGGATGTCTGACAGCTGTTTTAGGTCCATTTCCTATGGGCAGTCTGACATCCCTCTCACTATCTGGGACTGCCAGCTCCTAATTGCTTGCCTGCCTACCTATCTGATCACCCCTAATCCCTCTGCCTGCCTGCCTGGTCATGCCTAACTGCTTGTCTGCCTGCCTATTACCCCTAACCCCTCTGCCTGCCTCCTTGATCACCCCTAACTGCTCACCTGCCTGCCTGATCGCTTGTAACAGCTCACCTACCTGCCTGATTGCCCTTAACAACTTGCCTACCTGTTGATAACCCCTAACGATGTACCTGCCTGCTGATCGCTCCCAACCCCTCTTCCTGTCTGCCTGATCGCCCCTAACTGCTCACTTGCTTGCCTGATCTCCTCTATCCACCCCTGCCACAGCTTCATCCAAAAGGACATCTGGAGATCATTCAGCTGACTAGTCTAATTAGCATATTATGCTTTTATCATATACTAGAGGCCAAGTACACAAAATTCTTTCACAGGGAGGGGTGTCCCTCAGTTTGGCCTGTACCTTTTCCAATCCGGCACCCCTTTAGGGATGTACAACTGCCATTTTAGGCCCAATCCTGCAGTTGAACAAATCTCTCACAACCTGGGACTGCTGGCTCCTAACCACTGGCCTGTCTCCCTGCTTTCCTGATCACTCTTAACTGTCTCTGCTTGCTGGCTTGGCCACCCCCTAACTGCCCCTCTGCCAGCCTGTTTGCCCCTGTAACTGCCCCCGTGCCACTCTGGCCACCCATAACTTCCCCCCTGCCAGCATGATTGCCCCCTAACTGCTCCCCTGCTGGCCTGATCACCCCCTAACTGCCTCTGCCTCAGCCCAAGCCACTGTGGCTTTGTCCAGAAGGATGTCTAGAAGATGTCCAGTCTAATTAGCATATCACCCTTTTATTAGTATAGACTAGAGGCCCAATGCACAAAGATTCATGGAAAAATGGGCCTTCATTTCCCAGGCTGCTAGCAGTGCCTTTGTTCTGGCCAGAGCCACCTTTCTGCCTTCTCATGCTGCCCAGAGGCCCAAAGTGGCTGGGGTGGTACAGAAAGCCTGTGTGTGCAAATTAACCCTCCACATTTGGTGGGTTAATTTGCATACTCACTCCTGATTGGCTGGTGGGAATCATGAAGGTATAGTCAATTATCATGTTGCTATTTTATTAGGTAGATAATTTTTTTTCTTAGGGTATTCCCTATGCATGTAAATATAAGTGCAATTAAATGCAACTTCTAAAAATAATATATACAATTTAAAAGTAATAAAAAATAAATGCAATTAAATAACAATGGGTAGAACTGTAGAAGTACAAACTACAATATTGACTCGAACGTTATTTGTCTATAGTTATTATTGGATTCAATATTTCTTACCTGCTCTACACAGGTTTCTCCTCCATTCTTCCCACCATCCCCTCCATTCTTTCCCTCCACAGATACATATTGTACACCTTCTATGTGCCAGCAATTACATTAGGTGTTTGGGATATGATAGTTAACAGGAGATAAAAGGCCCCTGACCTCACAGAGCTTTTAATCAAGTAGGAGAGCCAGGAAATTAACAAGCAGACATGAAACAAACATAATTTCAACAATGCTGAGTGCTATAAATAAACAAATCAAGATATTGTCACAGATGGTAAATCGGATGTAGGAGAGGGCAGTTAGGGATATTGGATGGAAAAAAAACATAGCTGTTCGAGATTGGTCTGAGCAGACTTCCTGGGACAGATAAGTTGAGGCATAAATAACAAGGAGAAAACTCCTGTGCATATAAAGGAGGTGACTGCAGCCCTGCTCTGGCCTCAAGCTTGAAGAGCTTGGTCTTAGGACAGGTAACAGGGCCTGGGGGGCTAGAGTTCAGTGGGGAGTGAGTGATGGGGCAGGCAGCGAGGGCTCTGGTGTAAGATTTTGCAGGTCCAAGGGAAGAACTGTGATTTTATTTCAACTGTATTCAACGTGGTTAGGGGATATGCTAAGCAGGGGATGAACTAATCCAAGTCATCTCTGGTTAAACACCTGAAACCAGTTAGGAAAATATTACAAAAAGTGCAGGACTACTTCTGAACCTTTAACTTCAGCCATTGGATGGATGGAGTGCCATTTACTGAGATGGAGGTGAGTGAGGATGGGTCTTGGGGAAATTGAGAAGTTACCTTCCGAATCTGAAAAATTTTAGAGACCTACTAGGATTCCCCCTGGAGATATCAAGGGGGCAGTAAATGTCTGGATAGGATATTATTTTTCTGTAAAAAACATTTGCTTAACTTAAAGCAAAACTTCTGAAGCAGATGGTTATTTGTTTAAGTTCCTCAGAAGATTTAAAAGGGACCATCCTCTAGTCCAGAAGCTAGATAGAATCATAGTGAAAGTTTGGTTAATGAAAAAAAAAATGTTATTTTTAATCTAAAACAATAAAGTAGGAATTTTTAAGGGAATTATTGCCTATTTATTTTTCTTAAATATTGTTTATTTCCCTATCTAATAAAAGAGTAATATGCAAATTGACTATTACTCTAACAAACAAGATGACTGCCCCCATGTGGACACAAGATGGCCACCACAAGATGGCCAGCAGGGGAGGGCAGTTGGGAGGGACCAGGCCTGCAAGAGAGTGCAATTAGGGGTGATCAAACCTGCAGGGAAGGGCAGTTAGGGGTGACCAGGCAGGCAGAGGAGGGAAGTTGGGGGTGACCAGGCCTGCAGGGAAGGGCAGTGAGGTGGGGACCCAGGCCTCCAACAGAGAGAAATTGAGGGGACCTGACCTTCAGGGGAAGGCAGTTAGAGGTGACCAGTCCTGCAAGGGAGGGCAGTTAGGTGTGACCAGGCCTTTAGGGAAAAGCAGTTAGAGACTATCAGGCTGGCAGGAGATTGGTTAAGGGATGATCAGGCTGGCAGGCAGAAGCAGTTAGGAGCAATCAGAAAAGCAGGCAGATGAGCAGTTGGGAACCAGCAAACCTGGATTATGATAAGGATGTCCGACTGCCTGTTTAGGCTGCATCCCAGTAGGATCAGGCCTAAACGGGCACTCAGACATCCTTCGGGGGTCTCAGATTGGAGTGGGTGCCAGCTGGGCTAAGGAACAAATCACCTGGGCACAAATTTTGAGCACTGGACCTCTAGTATAAACTATAAGGAATCTACTCTATTCAAGTTACACAATATCTCTAGACCATTGTAAAGGAGCCTGAGTAGAAATGTTTTATTTTTTAGTACATCTCAAACAAGATCTTTAAGTCATTAAATCAAGACTAATCAGCCATTCTAAGGTGGCTATACAAATTATTAATCAGTTTATTAACCATATAAAAAAAATAGTAACTGCCAAGGTATAGAACAGAGCACAATCTGAACTATAAACAAGAATATACCTCACTTATTTTTGTTTCTTTTTCTTTGCAGATTGTGTATTTTATTACTCTGACTCCATATGTGGTACTTATATGTTTCCTACTCAGAACATTCTTTCTAAAAGGTTCAATTTATGGCATCGCCCACATGTTTACCCCTCAGGTATGTACTTTGTTTGAATTTAAGGTTTATGATCTTGAAAGCAATATGTTTGTTGTTAAAATTTTCCCATAGTTTGATTCAAGGGATAATTGTTCTAATACACACACACACACACACACACACACACACACACACACACACATTAGGCTTTCAAAGTATAGCTGTTATGTTATCTAACCTAGATAAACCAGAGCTTTTATTTGTCTTCAATTATCTCCATCTAGCTCCAATTTTAAATATCCCATTTTAGTTCTAGACTAAGGCTGTCACTATTGAAACTTTAATACTTTCTCTTTCATATTAGATTAACCTCCAATTTTTATACTTGTAAATTTTAGAACTTTTCAACCTTCATTTTTCTCCTTCTATTTCAGTGGGTTCTTAACATTTTATGGCATGGATCCCTTAAAAAACAAACAAAACAATAATAGGAATTTCTTACCAGAAAACATATTCATTTGCTTAGTGTCGCAGGAGGTGGACAAAACATACACAATCCATGGACCCAGGTTAAATCCCTTCTCAGAGAAAATCAATCTTGTATTGTTTTGAGATTTTATACTTTCTAAAATAATATTTACCTGGTGAGTTTGAGAAGTTCTGTAACTTTTGTAAATAAATGTACATTTTAGGAAAATTCTCATTTGATTTCATAAAAGGCTCTGTATGCTCTGTCCTTTAGCTTAGAGCTGAACTCAATGCTGGGCAAATTGAACATGCATGGCAATCTTTGTGGACCCTTTATTTAGATTTGACAGGAAAGGAAACCCAGTTTTGAGATGTATATTTACTTGGTTAGTTACTGAAATGAACTTATACCTCACTACTACTTTGATAATACTATTTAAGGCAGATACTGAGTTATTAAAATACATTTTCAAATTTAGGACAGCAATTGGAAGTTATTTGAAGAATGATCATGGTGTGAGATTTGGGCAGAAGATACTAGTTTTCTAAGAATATTTGTCAGTGTTGTAGCTGCTTTGATTCTGTGTAAAAGGGGCTGTGATTTTTAAGTATCTGGTTCTAACTTGGTATTCATTCTCTAGTAGCGAAAATATTGACATTGGTCTCTGGTGTTCTTCAGTGGCTCATAAGTCCTGTTTGATGTTTATCATTGTTGGGACACTTTACTGAGTAACTAGTTAAGATTCATCAGTTTTAGCTACATTATAATGCAAATCACCTTCAAATGGGATACACCTTAGGGACCAAAATTATTTATAATATTAAAAAAGAAAAGTGTTCTAAGTTTAAAACAACTAACTAGCTTTGGTATGAATTTCTGGCATTTCAACTTTTTCTAAGTTGGCAATTAATTGCTTGAGACATAATTCTAAATATTTTATTTGAATAGATATTTGGGAATTTAAACTCTTAGTTATGGAACTTTTTACATGGACCCTATATTCAAGTCTGCAGCATTATTAACATTCTAAAGCAAGTCTATGTATTACATTAAAATGTGGTTAATTCTTTTTCAGCTCACTTTTCATTGACTGTAGATAAGATTCTGTGTTAGTTCACTGTATGAATGATAGTTGATATATTAAGAACAAGAAGGTGTTAATTAATTTTAATTTACATTGCTTGTATAAAGAAAAAGCACCTAAACACATGAAATATTCTTTAAACTGTGAATGGAGATTTAGTTTCTGAATTAGAAGTATAGCAATTTGAACAATGTCCTCAGTAAATAAATGCTTTCTGCCATCTAGTGGGCGAAGTGGAGATAGGCAGTGATTGTAGCATTCTAGTATTAATAGATCAACACAGAATTGGCAAGATAACAATGGTCAGTAAACATTATGCATACCTCAGTTAATTATACATACATTATAAATATAGTAATTATTAGGTTATGAAAAATCCATAAATCTTAATAATAATAATAACTAAAATTAATTGAGCAATAAATTCTAATATTTGAGAGAACCATGGATTTTGTCATCTCTGAGTGTGTTCACATTTCTGTTCCACCCCAGAACTTCTGTGCAATCTTAGGAATATGTAGATAATAACAGCAACAATTTCATAGATTATTGTAAATATTAAATCAGATAATATTTATAAAGTGCTCATCAATGTGCCTGCCACTGTAGTCTATATATGTTAGCAGTTGTTGAGCAGTGAGAGTGTGGTAGGCAATGTGGCAAGTTGTATGTCTTATTACTCCCATGATTCAGTTGAGGAAGCAGCAATAGAAAGGACAGGCCACTTACCCTAGGGGGCACTACTCAGATTATTTGGATTATTCAGTGGCAGAACCTGAAACTGTCTATGGACCTCATGTTCTTACCTATATTTGGCATTGCTCCCACAAAAGGCAGTTTCATCCCAATTGTAAAAAAAAAAAAAAAAAAAGGGCAAAATGCCAGTTAAAAACACTACTGTTGCTACGATCTAATTTAGCTATTTATTGTGGTCTTTGGCATAAATGTCTAATTTTAATTGTTCCATTTGAAAGGTTTGACAATTATTTAAGAAGTAAAGCAGAATTATTTAAAATACATGTTCAGCACAGATTCAGAACTTCAGAACTTTGGATCTGAGGGAGTCTTAGATATAATATGAGGTGTGGGCAGAAGTAGGTTTAATTTACCAGCCATTATTACTTAAAAAGTAAATCATAAGTAGGGATCTGAAATGATAGCAATAATAATAATAATAAGACAAGTGAATAATACAATAGTCCTATTTAATAAAAAGGTAATATGCAAATTAACTGTCACTTCTTCTCAAAGATGGCTACACCCAGTGCCCTCAGACCCCAAGTCCTGGGGGATGGCTTTGAGAGTGGGCAGTGTGAGCAGCCTGGCGGAATGCTTGCAACAAGGATGGCCATGGATGGCCTCTGGACAGCACGTATGCGTGGCTGTCTACATGCAAACTCGGCCAGCACATCCCTCCTGGGTGTCCCTCAGGCTTGTTGCTTAGGTTGTCTTTCCTCCTGTGTCTGAAGGGAGGCTGAGGATCTGCCATTGCTGGGTGTTACTGTTCCTGGGGCCACAGCACCACAGGCTGCAGTGCACTGGCACCCTCTGGAGCTGGGCGCTGCTGTGGGGAGCTGTGCCCACTCTCTGGGATCCACCTGTGCTGGAATGTTTGGGGGAGGCAGCTGGGAGCAGACAGATCCTGGGCTCTGGGAGTAGGGGGTGGGTAGGGTATAAGCTAGGGAAGAGGAGATCAGGGCTATTCATTCCAAAGGATCTCACTCCAAAGCTTCATTCAAATGCAGAGAGCTCTCCTCATTCAAAATCAGAGCTCTCCTTCATTGAAAATCAGAGCATGGGACCTCACCTCAGGTTTCTCAAATGCCCCATCCTTAGGCCACAGCTCACCAACTTCTGGGAGGGAGGATGTTTGAGAAACTGGCCTATCTGGGTGGAAAAGGGTACTGGACCATCCCTCTGTTCACTTCTGTCTGTTTTCTCTTTGTAAATCCCATTTCTGGTTTTCTACACTCTTTCCAAGGGTGGCCTGGCTTTTGACTGCAAAAACAGACTCCTCTACAGTTTCACAGCAGACCTCATGGGCTGATTCTGTTGCCTCACCCTCAGAAACCAGCAGGTGTATACGTCATGTTCCTGTAAAAACATTCAAACCAGTAGACAACTTTTGAGTTTACTTGAGCCAAACTGTCCACACTTGCCAGGAAGCAGAATCTCAAGGGGTTGGGACAATGATCCAGAGAATGGCTGTCTTTTGCTTTGTTTTATTCATTTTTCTTTTTTAAAATTTAATGTATTTTCTTTGATTTCTAAGAGGAAGGGAGTGGGAGAGACATAAACATCATCAGTGAGAGAGAATCACCAGTCAGCTGCCTCCTGCACACTTCCAACTGAGGATCAAGTCCACAATGAGACAAGTGTCCCACCCTGGCCATGGAGAGCCTCTGGGCAGCGGGCGCAGTGCAGCCAGGCCCAGCATAGAGCAGAGAACCATGGGGCGTGGGCCTAGGCCATCAAGGCTCCCAGATTGGAGAGGGTCCAGGTCAGGCTGAAGGACCCCCTCTCCCTCACAGTGCTCGATTTTCATGCACCGAGCCTCTAGTTAATAAATAATGACACAAGATTAAACTGTTTTGCATACTCACAACTTACTTTTCCCTATCCCTGTAGGTGCATTTCTCTAATTATGAAAAGAAGGCTTTCAGGGAAGTCTATTTGAATGAATGAATAATAATAATGAATTAATACATATGTGAATATGAAAAATATAAATAGTTTAACTCTACCATACTCATCATTATTATTTGCTTTGACTGTTAGAGTTCCACCAGAAAACACAAAATAGGGTTTTAGTTAAGTAATTATTTTACTTTTATTGATAATCGATTTATTTTGCTTTGGATAGAAAACAAAGACATAAATAGGAAGTAATTGAAAATAGTTCACTTCTCTTTTAAATAGTCCTTTGATGATTTGTCTTAAAGTATTTAAAACAAATACTTTTGTTTTAAATTTAGATTTCCATGTAGATAGAAAATCTCAATATAAGTACCATCTTCATCTGTAAGCTTGATAGTCTACAGTATTTCTTGTTCATTTTCCTTGTTTCATTTTCAAATGAAAAAAACTATTTCTCATTAAGGACATATTATCTCCCTGATTTAAATATTATGATGTTATATTTAACCAATACAACCAGTTCCATGTAGATTATTCTGATATATTATTTTGAAGCTGTTTCTATTATGTTTCATTTTAAACAGCTTAAAAAAATGCTGGAGCCCCAAGCCTGGAGGGAAGCTGCCACTCAGGTGTTCTTAGCACTCGGTCTGGGATTTGGTGGTGTCATCGCCTTTTCAAGCTACAACAAGGAAGACAACAACTGCCAGTTTGATGCTATGCTGGTGCCCTTAATCAATTTTTTTACTTCTATCTTGGCCACATTGGTGGTGTTTGCAGTTCTGGGCTTCAAAGCAAACGTCGTAAATGAGAGATGCATTAAAGAGTATGAATATTTATTACCTTTAGCTTTCAAATGCACAATTATATAAAAATTACATTCCCCCCCCCGCCAAAAAAAAGCATTTTTAAATGTTCATTAACATGTTGTTCTCTTTTTCAGAAATACTAAAATGATTGACATATTTTTGAAAATGGGCAACATTTCTCAGACTATTATTCCCTCTCACATCAACTTCTCAGCTATTACTGCAGAAGGTTATCACGAAGTTTATGACATAATTAAAAGCGCGAAAGGGGAGGAGTTTCCTGCTCTTAATCTACAATCCTGTTATGTTGAAGATGAGTTAAATAAAGTTAGTACCTATGTTTTAAGCAATAAAATAGGTATCATTCAGTTAAAATATTCATTCTCCGGAAGACATTTTTGGCTAGGAAAATAACCATGACAGTTTTAAAATTCACATTCTTTTTTTTTTAAAAATATATTTTATTGATTTTTTTACAGAGAGGAAGGAAGAGAGATAGAGAGCCAGAAATGTCGATGAGAGAGAAACATCGACCAGCCCCCTTCTGCACACCCCCAACTGGGGATGTGCCCGCAACCAAGGTACATGCCTTTGACTGGAATCTAACCCGGACCTTTCAGTCTGCAGATCGATGCTCTAATACTGAGCCAGAGCGGTTTTGGCAAAATTCACATTCTTTATTTCAGAGGACAACTTTCTTAAATCATTAAAGGTTTCCTTTACTTTGAAAAAGCATTGATTAATCCACAGTAATTTAAAATATGAATATAAATGAAGTGATTTTTAGCACATCAAATGAAATCAGTCTGATACATTTCCTTGTATAATATTTAATATAAAAACTGTATTATGATTAGCACATATTGCATGATTATTTTGGTACATTAATGATTGTTGGCCATTTTAATAATTGTGTTCAACAAGTTATGATTAAGTTCTTTTTCTTAGCCAGTCTAATATATTTTAATAAATATAAAATAGGTGAACATTAATACATATTCTTGTATTGCTTGTCACATTCTCTCTGGATTGTCAAAAATAAAATGTCATAGAGAAATTGCCATTCGTTACTTGATTTAAGATACTTGAGACTTAAACACAAAGAATCATGTACAGCATGATCTCGCTCATATGTGGAATCTAAATAACAAAATAAACTGGTGAACAAAGTGGATCCAGAGACACAGAAGCATGGAACAGAGTGCAGAATCTGGAAGGGAAGGCAGGGGAAGATGGATGAGTGGGAACTAATCAACCAAAGACCTTGTATGCATATATGCATAACCCATGGACACAGACAAAAGGCTGGGGGTAAGGGGAGTGGGTGGGCTTGAAGGGGTCAATGGGGGGACTTATGTAATACTTTCAACATAAAGAATAGTTTAAAAACAAACAAAAAACATACTCCTTGTTTGGCAGAGTGAAGGACACTCACAACTGTTGGGTGGGGGCTCCTATGGCATTTTTATGTCATTTCCTGATCCCATGCCACCCTCTCACAGAGCATGCAGCTTTGGGAATGAGGGCTACTGTGATCCTTGGTCCCCTGTGCCCTGCTGACATCAGGTCTCAGGCTGGGTCTGATCTACCTTTTCAAATCCCCTCTTCATTCCTAGTGATTTTCTGCTAGGATCCTGATTCCAATCTTCCTTGAGGCATCCAGAGAGTGGCATGGTGGGGATGGAACTGTTATAGAGCTAGTCAGTCAGATATACACGTCAGGATATGTCTGAAGATTAAAAAAAAAAAAAAAAAAGAATCCTGAAGAAAATTATGGATAAACCATATATATTTATAAAAGTCTGATATGCTAAGTGTCTGACCAATTGGCCTACTGTTTTGTAGACTGTTGGACTAGTCACAATGATGCATACTGACCACCAGGAGTCAGATGTTCTGACACATAGGTTGGCTTTATGCTGGGGTCCAGCCAATCAGGACTGGGCAAGATAGGCTGGACATGCCCTGGAGCCTCCCAATGGTCCCTCCCCAGCTGTGTCCAATCCTTGGCTGGCCAGGCCCCATTGGCACTGATTGAGACTGGGCAAGATGGCTTCAATCAGCCCCAAAGGCTGGCCAGGCAGAAGGACCCCACACATGCACGAGTTTGTGCACAGGGCCTCTAGTCATTAATATAAAAATCTTGAATTCTGTATGGAAAGACAATTACTATCTTACCCTTTAAAAGTATTTTGTTGTTTTTAAATTCTGATTTATTTGTTTTCTTATGAGGTAACACAATCAGCTTGTTAGTTGAAAGGCACAGTTCCTTAGGAGACAATAAGATTCTGCATGTTTATGTCCAGTCTCCCCCCCCCCCCCCCCTGCAAGGCATTATTCGGAGTTCCTCTTCTTTGTAACTGATGTTTGTAGCCATCACTTAAAATTCCTCTGTATTCATTTTGCTATTCTGTCTATTTTACAGGAAGTCCAGGGAGTTGGTTTATCTTTCATTGCCTTTACAGAAGCGATGACCCATTTCCCTCTATCTCCCTTCTGGTCAGTGTTGTACTTCCTCATGCAAATAAGTCTAGGCCTCAGCAGCATGTTTGGAATCGTCGAAGGGATCATCACGCCTGTGGTAGACAGGTTCAAAGTGAGGAAAGAATTGGTTACTGGTGAGTTTTTATGTATTTGACTTTCCATTGATTAATATAGGCCATTTTACTCTTGGTGAGTGACCAGAAGTGGAAATAGGAATGTGTTGTTTGGTGTTTTATTAATGTCTATTTGTAAATATGTATTACTATTATTTGTTATTATCTTTATAAAACTGTGTAATCACATAATTATTTAATGTATAATTGCAAATATTATTAGTGATTACCTATTATTCTGGAGGCCCGATGCATTAAATTTGTGCACTCAGCGGCCAGGGGAGGAGAAGTATCTCTCTCATCCTGGCCTGTGCTCTCTTGGTTGGCCTTTAGAGATGTCCAACTGATGGCTTAGGCCCGCTCCCTAGCAGTCACACATCCTTAGCACTGCCACAGAGGTGGGAGAGGCTTCTTCCACCACCTCTGTGCTGCCTGGCTTCTGGCTGAGTGGAGCTCCCCCTGTGGGAGTGCGCTGACCAACAGGGGGAAGCTCTGCATTGAGTGTCTGCCCCCTACTGGTCAGAAGGCATTATAGAGACCATTTGTTCAGTTGATTTGCATATTAGCTTTTCATTATATAGGATTGCTCTTTATTAATAGTGATGTCATCATGAATTACTGGCACTAGAATAAAGTCATAACTTGTTCATGTTTTAATTTCTATACAAGTCAAATAGTTAACTATAACAAGTCTCAGAACCAAAATTCATTTTCCAAAAGTGTGTAGCCAAAATTGATAAATCTAAATTTCTAATGTAAAATGGCAGTTTAGTCTACTAATAGTTCATAGCTCTAGGTAGAAAAGCAAATAAAACAACTTATCAATATCAATGCTGGTTAATAAGCCAATCAGCAAGCACTTTAGTAAAGTACCAGTTTTGTACTGCATTTGAGGGACATAAAAGATATGAGAAATTATAACAGAAAAACAAAGATATAGGCAAGCCCCTTCTCCAAATAATAATAATAATAATAATAGTATTGTTAATTAAAAGCAAGCTGGGTGGATTAAAAGACTTGTACCATGTAATATACTTATAGACAGCATAATAGAGACTTCACATGTTATACAAATTAAGAAGAAACAAAAGTCATCTAAGTATATGCTTGAACTGACAATGAAAGAGATGGAAATTGAATTTGAAAGAGGAGAGGTCTTCTCACAGGAAAGAGGAAGTAGCACATGTAGAGATAAAGCCAACAGTAAGGAAGCCAACCAGATCAATGTGCAAGAACTGTGTCAGTAAGTGATGCAAACATAAGTTGGATAAAAAACATGTAGGTGATCTTGGATGCTGTCCAGCGGTGCACAAGCTTCCTCGGGCTCTGAGTTTAGCTCTGAAAGATCTTAGCAATATTTTATGTGTCAATAAGTCTCAAATATACACCTTTACCACTTACTGCTCTGCTAAGTGTGTGTGTATAAAACAATTTAAGCAGATCCTTAAATATTGATACTAAATATTCTCCACTCAGCTTAAAATAATGAGAAACTTCTTTATCTTTATCAAAAGGCAGTCTCTACTTCTTTAGTTTCTATTTCATTTAAGGCTATCAATATTCTTCCTGATATTGCAGGCTAAATAACACCCATCTTTGTTGCTTTCCTGGTCTTTGCCTATATCCAAAGCCCATGAAGTAAGAGGGCTTGCAGATTCAGGAAAAAGCAAGAGTGTGGAGGGAAAAAGCACACACTGTAGTGTCTGCTGCCTACTGAGAGACCTATTTGGGCAGAGCACAGGAGATGTACTCTCCTCCCATTACCTGTCTTTGGGATCATACCTATATTCAAGTTACATTTGACCCCGATGAAGCATTCCTCCATCAACTTTGTCAGATGTGTTTTTGTCTTCTCTAGTAGAACAGTGCGATTTAAATAAGCCAACCCCCATTATCTTTTCATCTCACATCTCCAGCAAAACTCTGCCTGTACCACCTAGATACATTTCTTCATGTTTGCCTTATACTGTGGTGTAATTAGGAGACAGTGAAAGTGTCACAGACTATAGGTCATATTCAAGCTCTGCTACTTCCATCCTGAGACTTTAAAGTACAATATACTGTGACAAGCATTTAAACATTTCATTATATGATAGATTCCAAGTACAGTACATGTTACTTCTCCTTTTCTACTCATATGTTTATATATATATTTGCTTATGTATGGTGCAGCTCATAACCCTAGCATAGTGCTTCAGAGAGGGCCTAATATGACTCATACTTGTTGAGATTGTTAGCACACCCCATCTTCAAACCCAGGGATTTCTGTGTTCTTGCCTTCTTTTGCTTTTGCTCACATCTGTTAACAACTAGAACACAGTCTAGAACACAGTCATCTATTTTTTTTTTACTGGGTATTTTATTTTATTTATTTGTTTTGCTTTTTTTTATTGAGTTATTACATATTTGTCCTCATTCCCCCATTACCTTCCCAACCCATCTCCCCCAACTCATGCCCTCAGCCCCCTGTTGTCTGTGTACACTGGTTAGGCTTATATGCATGCATATAAGTCCTTTGGTTGATCTGTCTCCCATATCCCCTCACTCTCCTAACTTCCCTCTGAAGTTTGACAGTCTGATTGATGCTTCCCTGTCTCTGGATCTATTTTTGTTCATCAGTTTATGTTCATTATTTCCCATAGATGAGTGATATCATGTGATATTTATCTTTTTCTAACTGGCTTATTTCACTTAGCATAAGGCTCTCCAGTTCCATCCATGTTGTTGCAAATGGTAGGAATTCATTCTTTTTTAGTGCAGCATAGAATTCCATTGAGTAGAGGTAACACAGTTTTTTAATCCACTCATCTGCTAATGGGCACCTAGGCTGTTTCCAAATTTTAGCTATACTAAATTGTGCTGCTATGAACAAAGGGATGCATATATCCTTTCTAATTGATGTTTCTAGCTTCTTGGGATATATTCCTAGAAGTGGGATTACTGGGTAAAATGGAAGTTCCATTTTTAGTTTTTTGAGGAAACTCCATACTGTTCTCCACAGTGGCTGCACCAGTTTGCATTCCCACCAGGAGTACATGAGGGTTCCTTTTTCTCTGCATCCTTGCCAGCACTTGTCATTTGTTGATTTGTTGATTTGTTGATTATAGTCATTCTGACAGGTGTGAGATGGCACCTCATTGTCATTTTAATTTGCATCTCTCAGATAATTAGTGACTTTAAGCATGTTTTTATATGTTTCTTGGCCTTCCTTCTGTCTTCATATAAAAAGTTTCTATTTAGGTTCGTTTCCCAATTCTTGATTGGATTATCTTCCTTTTGTTAAGTTGTATGAGTACTCTGTAAATGTTGGAGAATAAACCTTATTGATGATAACATTGGCAAATATATTCTCCGATTTAGTCGTCTTTCTTATTGTTTTGTTGATGGTTTCTTTTGATTTTGATTTTGATGTCCTGTTTGTTTATTTTCTCTTGATTTTCTATTGCCTTAGGAGCAGTATCAGTGAAGAAATTCCTTTGTTCTTATTGTAGTTTATTTATATTATGTGATCTGAGAAGATGCTTGGTACGATTTAAATCTTCTTGTTTTTGGGGAGACTTTGCTTGTGACCCAATAAGTGGTCTATTTTTGAAAATGTCCCATGTGTTCTTGAGAAGATAGCATATTCCATGCCTTTGAGGTGAAATGTTTTTGAAGATGTCAATTAAGTCCATCTGGTCTAGTGAGTCATTTAGGATTGCTATTTCTGTGCTGATTTTTTGTCTAGAGGATTTGTCCAGTGATGTCAGTGGTGTGTTAAAGTCCCCTACTCTGATTTTATTGTTTTTGATCTCTCTCTCGATATCTTCCAGGAGGCTTTTTTTTTCTTTGTTTATTTATTTTGTTTTTATGGATTTGGGTGCTCCTGTATTGGGTGCATATATGTTTACAAGTGTTATATCCTCTTGTTGTATTGATTCCTTTTAGTAATATGAGGTAACCTTCCTTATCTCTTGTTATGGCCTTCACTTTGAGGTATATTTTGTCAGATATAAGTATTGCTATCCCAACTTTTTTTTTCATTTCCATTTGCCTGAAAGATATTTTTCCATTCCTTCACTTTTAGTCTGTGTGATTCCCTTGTTCTGAGGAGAGTCTCTTGTAGACAGCATATATATGGGTCATTTTTTTGGTGGGTTTTTTTTTTGTGTGTGTGTGTTTTTTTTGTTTTGTTTTTTGTTGTTTTTTTTTTAATCCATTCAGCCACTGGATAACTTTTGAATGGAGCATTTAGTCCATTTACATTTTAAATTATTATTGAAAGATATTATACTAGTTTGTAGCCATCTTTACTTTTGAGAATGTGTTCCTTCTTACCTTTTTGTTTCTTCTTTTTACAGCATTTCCTTTAGCATTTCTTGCATTGTTGGCTTGGTATTGAGAAACTCCCATAGCCTTTTTTTTTTTTTTTTTTTTTTTTTTTTTTGTATCTGAAGCTCCTGATTTCCCCTTCAATTTTGACTGATAGTCTTGCTGGATAGCGTATTCTTGGATTCAATCCCTTGCTTTACATCACTTCGTATATCTCCTTCCATTCCCTTCTAGCTTATGTGATTCTATTGAGAAATTATTTAATAACCTGATGGGGGATCCTTTGTAGGTAACTCTCTGTCTCTCTCTTGCAGCCTTTAAGATTCATTTTTTTGTTGATAACATTTGCTATCGTAATTATGTCATGTCTTGGTGTGGGTCTTTTCAGATTCATCTTGCTTGGGACTCTGTACTTGTGTAACTTTTTTCTTCCCCATATCAGGGAAGTTTTCTTTCATTATTTTTCAAATAAATTTTCTAAACTTTTCTGCCTTTTTTGTCCTTCTGGTAGCCTTATGACATGTATGTATTTCATTTTGCATTGTCCCAAAGCTCCCTTAGGCTCTCCTCCTGTTTTTTAATTTTTTGTTCTCCACTTGCTATTTAGATTGGGCTTGCTTCTATACTTTATCTTCTAACTCACTAATTAGGACCTATGCTTCTTCTAGTTTACTGTTGAAGCCTTCCATGGTGTTTTTGATTGTCGCTATATCATTTTTCATTTCTTCCTGATTGTTTCATAGGTTGTTGATTTTCTAGTCTATCCAGTGTATGAAATGCATGACCATTACTCTAAATTATTTTTCCCCCAAAATTTAAAAAATCTTTATTGCTCAGGTTATTAAAATTGTTTCTCCTTTCCCTCCCATAGATCCCCTCCATCTGGTTCCTACCCCACCCTCTCCTTTTACCCTCCCATTGTCCTCATCCATAGGTGTATGATTTTTGTCCAGTCTCTTCCTGCAACTCCCACACCCTTTTCCCCTGATAATTATCTTTTTTTTTAATATATTTTATTGATTTTTTTACAGAGAGGAAGAGAGAGAGATAGAGAGCCAGAAACATTGATGAGAGAGAAACATCGACCAGCTGCCTCTTGCACAATCCCTACCGGGGATGTGCCCGCAACCAATGTACATGCCCTTAACCGGAATCGAACCTGGGACCTTTCAGTCCGCAGACAGACGCTCTACCACTGAGCCAAACCGGTTTCGGCTCCCCTGATAATTATCAATCCACTCCCTTTCTTTGCCCCTGATTATATTATGTTCACCAGTCTATTCTGTACTTCAGATTTTTAATTCACTTGATTTTTAGATTCACTTGTTGATATAATAAAAAAGGTAAAGATAAAAATTATGATATATATATATATATATATATATCTCATAATTTTTATTCTTAATTTTTTTCTTCTTCCTCTTCTTAAAGAATACCTTTCACCATTTCATATAATACTGGTTTGGTGGTAATGAACTCCTTTAGCTTTTTCTTATCCATGAAGCTCTTTAACTGCCCTTCAATTCTCAATGATAACTTTGCTGGGTAGAGTAATCTTGTTGTAGGTTCTCACTATTCATCACTTTGAATATTTCTTGCCATTCCCATCTGGCCTGCATAGTTTCTGTTGAGAAATCAGCTGATAGTCGTATAGGTAACTAACTGTTTTTCTCTTTCTGCTTGTAAATTTCTCTCTTTATCTTTTGCCCTTGGCATTTTAATTATATGATGTGTCTTGGTGTGGTCCTTCTGTTTTGGGTTCTGTGTGCTTCCTGTATTTTTAAGTCTATTTCTTTCACCAGGTGGGGAAAGTTTTCAGTCATTATTTCTTCAAGTAGGTTTTCAGTATCTTGCATTCTCTCTTCTTCTGACACCCCCATAATTCTAATGTTGGTACACTTGAAGTTGTCCCAGAGGCTCCTTACACTATCTTCAACTTTCTGGATTCTCTTCAATCTTGCTTCAGCAGAGGAGTGTCCTTTGGTCTGTGTATTCCAAATCTTTGACTTGATTCTTGTGTTTCTCTAGTTTGCTATTAGCTCTCTGTATAATATTTTTTATTTCAGTCAGTGTATGTTTAATTTCTAGTTGGTCCATTTTCATATCCTCGAGGGTCTCATTAAATTTATTGGCCGTTTCTAAGAAATTCTTGAAAAATATTGCAACTGTGGTTTTGAACTGTATATCAAGTCTTTTGTTCTCCTCTATTTCTTTTGTTTGCGATCTATTTCCTTGTTTTGGCATTTTTGCTGCTTCCCTGAGTTGATAGGATGGCTTTGTGTGTTTGGTGTCCTATATGTCCCAGTGGATCAGCCTCCCCACTTACCTGAGGTGGACACTCTTGGTGCTCCCTTTTGTGGACTGTGTGTACAGCCTTGTTGTGGTTAAGTCTTGAATGTTGTTGGTATCACTGGGAGGAATTGACCTCTAAGCCAATTGGATGTGAGTATCAGCTGTGTCTCATCTGGGATACCTTCTGTATTGGAGACAGTCTTATAGGATCAGTCTTTCAAAATTGCAAAAGCCTCTGTGCTCAGCTTGGATGGAGTGGAGTCTCAGAGCTGAGTCGACAGTCTTGGCTTCCTGTCAGCCCTGCCCTTGTGTGCGAGTCTCAGACTTCTGCCTTCCTCAACTCCCCTGAGTGAGTTTCCGTCTGACAGTCCTGAATCGCCTTGTAAGTGTGTGGGTGCCCCAAGGGCTCACCCAGAATTGGGTGGGGTCTAAGTAGTCTGGAGCTTCTGACTCCTTCCACTATGGAACAGCTGCGGCAATCCACGGTCAGACCTCTCTGTATGCACTCACTCACATGCTGCGGCCCCTGGTTCCCCTGAGTCTCCTAAGTCTTTGTGTGCCTTTCTTTAAAGTCCAGATTCCACCAGTATGAGTCTGGGTCCATAGGGTTTTGGCCAGGGATGGAGTTTAGTGCAGTCAGAACTGTGGTTCAGTGCAGCCAGGGGTTTCCTTTCCCCTCTCGCCAGCCAGGCACTCAGCCACCTTTTTCTCTGTGTGCAAACTCTCTACCTCAGCGATTTGAGGCTCCCCTGTTCCATGAGCCTTTCTCCTTCTTTATAGCTGTAGATTTCTCACTCTGCCAGCTTTCCTGTGCTTTTGGATGATGTCCGTTCTGTCTTTTAGTTGTTGTTTTGAAATTGTTGTATGAGGTGGTAGCTTACGTGTTTATCTAGGCCGCCATCTTAGTTTCTGCTCAACTCTGAATTTTTTTTTTTCATGTTGCATGCTTCCATTTCACTTATTTCTTTTCTTGTTGATTCCTCATTTTCTTTCCTCTGAGGGTTGTATTTTTGTCTCCCTATTCTATCACCAGAACGTTCCAATGTCGAATTGCAGGGGCCTGGGCTACGTGCACTGGAGGTTTTGCATCCCCCCAAGTGTCACTGAAATGCTTTGACACCAAGACATGTGGCTGCTGTGGACAGGTGGGAGCCATTGCTCTGGATCAGAGTCACAGGTGCTTAGTGTGGCCTTGTGTGTGCACCTAGAGTCAGGGACCCTGCTTGCGTCACGTTGAAACAGAAAACCCATTGGCATGTGTCAAAAATCAAAATCCCCTAGTGCATGTCAGGAGTTTGAGACTCTCTGGGTCCTCTATGAGAATTGAGTATCAGAGTCTCTGTTGCTTGGTGCTGCCTTGCACTGAGAATGAGGGTTCCTGTGTTCACATGTGTCAAGAATTGGAGGGCAGTTGGGTGGGGACCAGGCCTGTAGGAGAGGGAAGTTGGTGTTGACCAGGCTGTCAAGGGAAGGCAGTTCGGGGTGACTGGGTCAGCAGGGGAGGGCAGTTGTGAGCAACCTAGCTGGCAGAGGAAGATAGTTAGGGGTAACCAGGCTGGCAGAGGAGGATAGTTACGGGTGACCAGGCTGGCAGGGGAGAGCAGTTAGGGGCAATCAGGCTGGGAGGGGAACAGTTAGGCATAGATCAGGTTGGCAGGGAAGTGATTAAGGGGTGATCAAGCTGGTAGGCAGAAGCAGTTAGGGGCTATTAGACAGGAAGGGAGGCAAACAGATGAGAGCCAGCAGTCCTGGATTGAGAGAAGGATGTCTGACTACCCATTAGACGGATATCAGATTGGAGAGGTGCAGGTTGGGCTCAGGGACATGCCCCCCTTCCCCGCACTCCCTCCCCCTTCCCCCCCGCAGTCCGGGCACGAATTTCATGCACCAGGCCTTTAGTTTTATTATAAACTACATTATTTTCATTATTAATGAAGAAATTCAAGGCTTCCAAAACTATAATATGCTGTTAAAAGTGGGAATGACCACCCAGTCAGTGTGGCTCAGTGGTTGAATTCTCGGTCAGGGCTCATGCCCGGTTTGTTGGCTTGATCCCCAGTTTGGGGTGTGCAGGAGACAGCTGATCAATGATTCTCTGTCATCACTGATGTTTCTATCTCTGTATCCCTCAGTAAAGCATATTTTTAAAAACATAGAATGACCTATGAAAATTTTCAGCTTGAAAAGGTCAGTGCTCTTAATAAAGAGAAGAAAGGTATGGGGATTTATACTTTTATCACAGGTTTAACTCATTTATTATTTGTGCTTGGTAAGTAAGTTTACCAGAATAAGGGAGATAGCTGTATTATTATCTAACAGTGAATTTATATTAAATCTGTGTTAAATCCACGTAACTACTATCACTATGTAATATTCCACAATATTAGGAAATTTATTGCCTTTGCACATTATTGATAAGTTATAAAAGTGTAAACAAGATTGTATTTTGAATATAATAATTCATAATACAATTTAAAATACTTGATTCTGAATAAGGGTTTAATTTTTCATTTATTTCTTTTGTCCAGTTCTCTGTTGTTTTCTGTCATTTTGTATTGGCCTGATATTTGTGCAACGCTCTGGAAGTTACTTTGTTTCAATGTTTGATGATTATTCTGCTACGCTGCCATTTTTAATTGTAGTCATTTTTGAGATTATTGCTGTATCCTTTGTCTATGGCACAGATAAGTAAGTATATTTTGATCTCTATTTTGGAAACACCAATTGACATTATTTAATTTAGAAGGGGAGAAAAATCATTAGAGGAGAAAATGCCACAAACGAAATACTTTGAAGGCTCTTCTTTATTTAACAATTTTAATAAGATTTATTCACCTATCAGGTAATAAGATTGAATTGTGTAGTAGTAATGTAGTCTAGGATTCTGGAGCTTTGATTTCCTGCTGGTTTTCAAATAGAAAGGTCCAAGGTCTAGTGGCTGTTTTCCACAAACCTTATTGTTTTGAGTTATTATTATTATCTAAGTTTTACAGATGAGAAAACTCAGGCTCAGTGAGAAACCAAGTGTCTTGCTCATCAGAGACAGACCTGGGACTCATAGTCTTTTCTGCGTAGCTCCCAGCCTATGCTTCTATAATAATTACTTTCTGACCTGTTTCCTGAGAGGAGTTTCATTTTTATGCTACATAATGCCTGTGGAACAGGCCAATATTGGGAAAATACAGTGTGTCCTCCAAAAATGTATACAGTTTAATAGCTGATAGGTGAGTTTTGAGAATGAAATGTATTTTAGTAAAAACTGCCTTTATAATTATTCAAAGTCTGTGTAAATATTTTTGGGACACAGGATATCTACTCTGAGACATATATGGCATTTGATATAAACAAACATCATATTTATATGGAGTCATTATTTGGATTCACTAGATGCCTTTAACCTCTGAGTTACATACCTGCTTGATGTGAGAAGTATATATATTTGCTGTGAGATAAAGCATCAGAAGAAAAATATTCCTGGAGACATTTTTGACAAAATATTGTCCCAATTTCTTTTTAAGTTGCTGTCTTTAGTGAACATGTATAGACTAAAACAATAAGATCATGAAGCTTGTTAGAGGTCTGTGTAAAGTAAGAATGTGTGTTAAATGAAGACCAGAGCACCCCTACCCAACACAGAGAAGAACATATTGACATTGAATAAGCTTTGTGAGAATGTTTTTATTACTGTCAAAAGCTCCAGGTAGGGGACCTTCCATTTTATAGTCATGTGCTAGACTATAAAATGGAATAGCTATCTGACATGCACTTATTCTTAAATTTTATAAAAATACTTTGTGGTGACTATAGCTTCCATGTCACATGGAGAATGTGCCCTACCTGTACAGAAGGATTTAGTATATTAGCTGTAGAACCAGGACTTTAACTTCAAAACCAGCCATCAGTACACTATCAAGCTACCTACAAGTTCTAACCTGCATTGTATAGAAATTTGATAAAGCATTGCTAGTGCTGTGTTCATAGAATAGGAAGTCATCAGTAGAAGAAAACATTTCAGTAGTTGGCTAAGAGTGCTTTACCTAAATAAAAATTATAGTATGTATTTAACTGGTTCCATTTTACTTTATTTGTTAATTTATGTCATCTTCCATTGTAACTTTTTGATAAGCATAAAATGCTATATGGTATCATGTCTAATTCCCTGTCAAATCATTGGTCAAATGCACATTTATAAGATAATTCATAAAACTGAGAGAAAATTACCTTCTTTTTATTCAGATTTATGGAAGACCTAAGAGATATGATGGGCTTTGCTCCCTACAGATGTTATTATTATTTGTGGAAATATATTACTCCTATAGTGCTATTATCACTGCTAATAGTTACTGTTGTGAATATGATATTAAGTCCTCCTGGCTATTATGCATGGAATAAAGACAAGGTAAAATATAAAATAAGGAAGTTTTTATCTTTTGCTTTATTCATAGTATATTTTACTATTTAATGATTGGTGTTGCTTTTATGCAAGGATCTTAAGATTTATGTTTTGTTCATTCCCAAAAATGTATGTTTTTCTTAATACATTGTAGATTAAATCAAATACTAATTTGGTTTCTCATTAAGGTAGCTTTATTCATGTCACCACATTGATGAACCAATTATTATTCAGTCTTTAACTAGAAAATATTTTGCTCAAACCACTGGAAATATTTTCCTTTATCAATGTATTAAATCATATACCAGATATTATTTTCTGATGAAACGATGCATTAACCATATAGATATAATGTAAACAACTATCAAAGTAATATTTTGTTATAACTATTTAATATTAGCAATAAGTAATTCAATTCTGTCATCAAGCTGTATTACCTATATCATAGCACAACCATTACATATACATGGGATGTTATAAAGTTAGAGTGCTTATTTTTCAGAAGTATCCCTGACCTTTATTCTATGATCAATAATTCTACATAATAGTAATAACTGAATTCATGACTGGGCATAAACAAGTCTGTTATCCCTCAACAAAACCCCAGAAATGCAATAAAATTTAGATTTCAGAAAGTCAATCTGGCATATGTAACAGGTATCTATTGCTTAATGACAAACTTCCTCCTAAATGTCACAATTGAAAGCAATGCTGGTTATTATTATCTTGGGTGCTGTGGATGAGCTGGATGAGTCTTCTTTTGGTCTTGTCTGAGCTAACTCATACAGCAGATTAAACTAAAGAGCCAGTTTCTCTCTGTAAATTTTCATTCTTGGCTTCTTCCAACTAATATGACTTATAGCAGCATTCTGTGAAACAGAGCAGAAATTGCAAGGCCTTTAAAGGTCTAACCTTGAAGTTGCTTAATGTCACTTCCATGCCATTGTGTTGGCCATAGTATATCACAAGAACAGCTTGAATTCTTCGCTTACAAACCTGAGACAAATATTTTTTTCCATACTTGCAGGGAAAATTGATTATTAATACATATCTTGGTGTTAACAGGCATCTAAGGATTTTCTGAAATTTCCAGCGTGGGCAATGGTTATCTGTATATCTCTGATAATCCTGACCTTACTCCCCATCCCGACTGTCTTCTTCATTCGTTGCTGCAAGGACAATAATTCCGGTAATTTAGCCTCTGTGGCCTATAAAAGAGGAAGGCTACTAAAGGAGCCTGTAAACTTAGAGGGAGATGATGCAAGCCTCATTCATGGAAAGATACCAAGCGAAATGTCATCTCCAAGTTTGGGTAAAAATATTTATCGGAAACAGAGTGGATCACCGACTTTGGATACTGCTCCCAATGGGCGGTATGGAATAGGGTATTTGATGGCAGATGTGGCAGATATGCCAGATATGCTGGAATCTGACTTGTAGCTGGGGGCAGGGGGAGTTGGGTTAGTGCATTTTATTTAAGTTAATTTCTATCAATCAGCATTGGCTTCATGAAGAGAAGCCTTAGGCTTCACTCATCAGAGGGCGATCTCAGGTGTTCCCTGGCTGTGATCTTGAACACTAACAGTGAGTGTAAATTCAGCTGGTGTATTCCTTTGTATTCTTCAGTTTACATCTGCACAGGAAGAATGGCAGACAAAGCTTACAGTGACTGAGGTTCATGTTTGTCAGAATTTTTAAAAACACTTTTGGTGATTTTTCAAGTATTTTTTTCTTTAAAAACAAACAAACAGGTGTTACCTCAGTTTCTAATAATTTCTGGATGTGATGGCGTTTGCAATTCAGAAATAGTGTATGCACTTTCAAATGCATGTTTGCCTTCAGGGTAACTCCCAATGAGCAGCTCTGTAAGTTGGTGCCTCTCAGCACATTTCTGTGACTGTTTTGTGTAGATAGGCTGTACTTATTTTGGTTGCATTGCTACCTTGTCAGGCAATTAGTTGAAGAAAACTGCAAAATATTTTCTTATGTGATTGCTGTATAGTGCAATAGTATCAAAGAATAAGAAGGCACTAATGTTGGGATGAAAGGTTATATTCAGGATCATGTGTATGATGGCTGTATATTTTGTGTGAAATATGTGTGAAAATGATGTAAGTGTAAGTCACTTAGCACTCTCAAGAAAAATGCAGACTCTGCATTTTCCTATGCCATGTGCCTACAAAACCTACTTGATGTTTATTGTGGATTCAATATTACTCATAGTATATTTATACAATATACTTGTAATATAGATGTATATTAGTATTCTAAGTACTGATTTGAAAACTTGAAGCAAGATGGCATTTTATTTCATATCTTTCTGTTTTGCTTCCTTTTTATGCAAATATTAATCCTTTTTTAAGTGATTGTTAAAATTGTATGGCATTACATTTTAAGCTACAAATAAAAATTTAAAATTATATTTGTTTTTCACATTGATTTTTCTTGTATCACTTGAACTGGATTACTTTGCATTTCAGTCAGCACTTAAGAGTTTCATCATCATTAGCCTTATATTTCAAGTAGGATCAATATCTGATTAACAGAGTTACCACCACTTTGGAGACAACAGGAAGTAGATTATTATGGTGAAATGGTGTTTGGATGTGGTCCACAATTGTTGAAAAAAAATACTTGTAGTCTCCCAGGAAACCCCATGTACAGTTGACAACTTGCTGGTCAGTATTGTCTTTCAAGTATAAAAATTATGATGATTTTTATGAAATTGTTGTATGAAATTAGATGAAGCAGGAGAAGTCCACTGAGTACCATCTCATTAAAAGGCTTTTATTTATAACTATAAAAAACATATCAGTTATATTTTTTAATTGATGGATAAAGCAACAAAAATGGAAGATAGTACCACATCATATCCATTGATTTCTTTCTACCAAAGATTATTGATTTGCAATAGACATATATTATAGACTGCATCACAGCATTTAAAATAGAATTCCAGCCGAAACCAGTTTGGCTCAGTGGATAGAGTGTTGGTCTGCGGACTAAAAGACACCAGGTTCCATTCCAATCTCAGGCACATCTTGTGCAGGAGGCAGCTGGTCGATGATTCTAGTTCTCTATCCCTCTTCCTTCCTCTCTGTAAAAAATCAATAAAATATATTTAAAAAATAGAATTCCACTGGTGATTAAAATTTTTAGTTTTTTGCTTTACATATTCAGTATATTTTGTATCTCTTTAAAAATACTTTATAGTAAGCAATAATGCACATTATACAAATTCAAAAATTTCAACAATGCAGTGTGAAGTAATTTCCCCTCTAAAATTTCTTCTAGCCTCCTAGTTCCCTCTTTGAAGGCAGTCCCCATTGCCAGTTTACTGTGGAAATGTTCTATAAACACACATTATATAATTGACACCATTTAGTATTCTTTCTTCTGAATCTTATTTATTTCAATGAATAACTTATTTTGGACAGTGTTTCATATGAAGGCACATAGATCTGCTTCATTCCTTTAGAAGTTGAAATAGCATACATTTTATATATCTTTTGTGCTGAAGCAATATGTTTATAAGCTACCCCAATATTTAAAAATTTATAGCAAATAGTTTATTTGCCAGCCTTTAACTTATCATGATACATTGCCAAATAAGCATCTTTTCCCCACTCCTTCTCTTGTCACCTGGCTTTTAATTACAGTTTGGATACTTGCTTTCCACTGGGGAATTAGGTCTCCACTTGCCTAAGTTTCTATTCACAGAGTGGTAAGAAAAATATAGGAATCCTTTTTTTGAGAAGAAAGAGAATCTAAACTGTTTCTAATGCCCTCACTTGGCAGATGAGGAAACTGACCATAGAAGTTAAAGCTGAATAGATAAGGTCTCTCCTTTTTGTTTATTTTCATTAGTCAGTTCTTCAGCTATCCACTAATTTATTTATTTGCTCATCCTTTCTTTCAGCTTCTATTTAACAAGAATCTATCTTATTCTTAATGGTAAGCCATGCACCACTATAAATAGAATATCAATTATCTATCTTTTCCCCAGCTTATCTCCTTCCTTGCCGACATCCCTTACCACCGTTTCCCAGGCAGGGTAGTATTTAATGAATGAATGGTAGTATGAATTATTCATCTCTGCACTCTAAAATTTGAGGCAACTTATTTTTGTATGACTTTCCACTACTTCTGTAAACTATGGTGTAAACTTGCTCCTAAACATAACAAATCCAAGTATTGTGTATCTTCAAATATAAAGGCAGCCTGGGAAGTGTGGAGGAGGGCTGATAGAATGTGCAGAGTGGAATATAAGGACAACAGAGAAAAAAATTACTATTATATATTAAAGTCATAATGAGGGAATCTAACATATTGGTGGAATAAAGTCTTAGGATGTAATTTAATGAAAGTATATTTGCATTTCCATGTGTCTCTATTTATGTGCATTTTTAGGCAGAAGTTTCTTTTTTTCATCAAATATTCAAATGTGTACATGATTGCAGAAAGTTTAAGATCAAGATACAGTATTATTAATTACTAGAGGCTTAGTGCATGAATTCATGCATGGGTGATGTCTGTCCAGCACACTCCAATCTGAACTGGATGAGGGGCGCAAGAGGTTGGTGGTTGAACTCTCAGTTGGTCAAACTCCCACCTGAGGGGATAATTTGCATATTAGCCTTTTATTATTTAGGATAATTATGCTTTTGAGTTACCTGTGCCCTTTCTGTATATTTTAAACATACTGAATTGGAATCTTTTTAGGATTGGATGCAGGCATGAATATTAAAAACAAAACAAAATAAAACATATTGTAATATTTATTTTTAGTTAGGTACCATGTGTATGAAAAAGATAAAAAGAAGTATAAGTAAAATATGAACCCCAGTTGTCTTGAAAGAGAAAGAAAATCATGTGATAACTGTGATAAAGGGGTAAAAATAATTTGGTGGATAGAAGCTGGAATTTATAATAAACCCTTTGAAAATAAAATATCTTTCTCCTTTTGATTTTGTTCTTGTCAATGTTTCCTTAATAAGCCCAAAGAGATTCCAATTTATCTTGATTGTCTATGAATAAAATCAATAGTAATTGCATGGATTCTTTCCCCATACACTTTAATTGTAATTTTTTTGAGCCATAATGTATTGACAAAAAGGGAAAAAATCATAAAACTCTAGAAAACTGTTGGAAATATTAAAAATAACACTTTTCTTAAGCTATCCATTACTGAGCATACATTTTTACCTTTATAACTTAGAACGGAAGTAAAATGTTCCATATGCTATTTTGCCTCCAATGACTGACTCCAAAATTGGCTGATTTACTAGTTATCCTGATATGCATTCCCACCTAAAACATTGCCTTAAGAATGCTTATCATGTGGAGGTAAAAAGAGAAAAGGAATGAGACATTATCTTGTCCTAAAATCAATGTCTTCTGAATTCTACTAATGTGTTAGCACACCACAGTGATTCCTGGCACCATCATCAAAACACACAGATGTATGTATTACCACACCACCTCCACCAAAAACAAAATACCTGATTTATGTGAACAGCAAGAAATGTGCCATGTGGTGCCTATGCAATGCCATATGTGCCGCCTTGAACATAAAAGGAATCATGCCTGTAGATTAATGGTGATATCTCAGCTGCTATTCTGTTTCCACTGCTAGCCTTTTCAGGGCATATTCACTTGGGTACTAAGGAAGGTAAAAGTTCTGTAGAAGGGATTACCATATTTCTAAGAATACAATATTCTCAGTAAAAAACAAACAAACAAAAAAAAACCACATTAAAAATGTTGCAAAAATATCTCATTTTACTGATCTTTAAAGGAATGCTTATAAAACAAGCAAAAAAAAAAAAGAAAGAAAGAAAGAAAGAAAGAAAGAAAGAAAGAAAGAAAGAAAGAAAGAAAGAAGCAGAACATGATACCCCAGAGCAGTTGTCGGCAAACTGCGGCTCTTTGGCCCCTTGAGTTTTTAACAAAGGCCAGCTTTGGAGTACCCTAATTAAGTTAATAACAATGTACCTACCTTTATAGTTTAAGTTTTTTAAAAAATTTGGCTCTCAAAAGAAATTTCAATCATTGAACTGTAGATATTTGGCTCTATTGACCAGTGAGTTTGCTGATCACTGCCCCAGAGCACCCCAATCTGAAATGAATGAGTAGAAATTACATTTGTGAGCATGGTAGCAATGATGGCATTCATTTTATATGTTCATCACAAGCAGTTACCTATATTATTATTATTTTTTAAATGGGTTTTTATTGATTTTGGAGAGAGGTAGAAATATAAATGATGAGAGAGAATCATCTATCAGCTGCCTCCTGCATGTTTCCTACTGAGAATCAAGCCTGCAACCCAGGCATGTTCCCTGACCAGGAATCAAATCTTGACCTCCTAATTCATAGTTTGATGCTCAACCACTGAGCTGCATTGGCTGGACTCTACCTACATTATTAATCAGATATAT